CCTCGTTCCTACGTACTCTGCTCAAGTCTCCGTCTCAACAGACCACTTCTCCCGAGCCAAGCCCCAGGCCAAAGGGAACCAATAAGACTGGAGGAAGTAGAAAAGCTTCGCCCACTCTCCATCGGCATATTAGGTCTCCATCTCATCGCGGGTCCCCCAACCTTTCTCCGTCACCAGAGTCACTTCGCTCAGGGCTACGAACTCCTGTCGTTCCGTCCGTTGGAAACCCGTCTCACGCTTCCCATCTGTCACCCTTTCTGGCGCCACCATTGCTGTATGCTTCTCCACTTACATCTCCCTACCTACCTCACCACCCCACTCCAGCCCTTGGTCATCATCCCTACTACTCTGGCTTGACCCCTGTTCCCGCACAGTATCGGAGCTCACCATCACCCATCTCTTCATACTGGGTCAATTACCCGGTCTCTAGTCTTCCACGGGGATCAGTGTTTGCTGGGCCGGTGCCCCCTTGCCATGGCTCTCCACTCAGTCCCTGCCCATGGGGGTCTATGACCCATCATTCCCTGGATGACTTCAAGAAAGATGATGGTGTTTCAGGTAAAGGAAGATATGAACTTATTCTGCTATTTTATACTTTGTAGTCTTTAAAGTGTAAGGCTTTATGTTAGATTTGATTTTTGTTTCCAGATGTTCCACTCAACTTGTCAAAACATGCTGGGTGAGACCAGAAGTAGTTCTGTGTGAAAATTGAAGTGTATATAGATGGTGCTGGGGTTGAAGGAGTGGGTTCAGTGACCTGGATCTGAATCAGTTGACTTACGAAAACCTCTCTTAGATACCGTTTCTGCTGTGTCTGTTCATGAAGACCTGGGCATCAGGAACAGGTTTGAAATGAAGACAGTAGGAATCAAATACTCGAAACTTCCTTAACATAGTTGTATGGAATCGTAATTATCTGTAAGTACAGACACTTTAAAAGTGGGGTATAGCATTTCTGCATTGTTTTTCAAAAGAGTGCAGAGGAATTAACACTAATGTGCCTTGTTAGAGGCGAATGATTGATGACTTTGGTCACTTGTAAAGTTAGATTAGATGAGGTTGTTTTTTATATATATATATGAGATTTATGAGTATATGTTTTTTCTCCCTTTGTTTCTTTCCTTTATTCTTTCTTTTTTGTTGTCCCCCCCCCCCCCCCCAAACAATTTTTATCCGTATTTTGCCAATAAGAATTTCACTTTGTGGTAAGAACCATTGAAAATGGTCATTGCCATTTAATTTGGATTTTGTTATATTATATAGAATCTAGCGCAGTTTTAGAGGATGTCTATTTGCAATATTGAGGAATCCATGCGAATTGAAGCCTGTATTTGTGATACCTTTCCAGTATTCACATATGTCAGTAGTATAAGTATGTATTTCTAATCTTTGAGTTTCATTCATTTTTGAAGAAGGAAAATTAATTTGGCTTAGTGGGTGAATGCTACTAGAATTTTATTTCAGGTTGGATCTGTCTGAAATTTGAATAAAGAAAATTTGTTATAATTTTTAATAATGTTCTCATTTAAAAATATTCTGTAATTTGACAAGCCATTTAAAGGTGTGAATTGGCCTATGTTTCCTGTAATAGCTGAAATGTTTTGCAGTTTGGTGCTTTGCTCATTTGAGTGATGTCATGGTGCTTTTATTTTCTGTATTAAAATGATCCATCACACATTTTATTAAGTTCAGTAACTAAATAACATACAGGATTATATACAAGTTTTGGTTCAGTCAATTAAATTTGTAACTTTTATAATGTTATGATTTCGTGCAATACAGTGGAACTTCATTAGAAAGCTCCTCTATGTGACAGTATCACTTTTTAAAAAAAGTCATTGATCTTTATCTTGAGTCTATTGGTTCATTTATACTTAGTCCATTTAAACTTGCATAATAAATTCATATTTAATGAAAACAGGTTTTAAAATTACTATCAAGTATATTTAAGCTGCATCAGTTCCTATGTTACCAGAACGTTTTCTGCTAGTGCTGCAAAATATTTAAAAATGTAGATCCTAATACCATGGATGTTTGTGGATGTTATTGAACAGTAGGAGCTCTTACTAACCACAGGACAGCTAACAAATGTGAGTATAGAACTTGACAGTTTTGGGAGATAGCTAGGTCGCACTGGTACTGTAATAGACACGACAGCTTAGTGTTGAACCCTAAAGAGTGTGTGCGTGAACTAAGGAGGTACCCATCATGCCATTGCTTTGCATCCATGTCTTCATACTACGTGGCTACATTAACTTTTAGTCGGTACTGGGAAATGTCAAGGGCTGCTGATGTCTCAATGTGATTATGGTGCAGAGAGAGGGAAATAAATTCTTATCAGTGGCAAGTACACTCACTGATTTATATGTGATTATGGTCCTGTGACTGAAAATCCTATACTTTTATAATGCATTGTGAAAGCAGAAATGTAATTTCCTCATAACAAAAATAAATGCATTTATTTTGTACCTTGAAGCCCCTAAACCCCATCGTCTGCTTCTCGGCCACAAATGGGTGCATCCGTATTGTTTCTGGAATCAGCGACATAGTTAAAGGAAATGGACTTTGATGCTCTTCACCTTCCTCCCTGAAGTTCTGGTTTAAATCTTGTCAAATTGATTTGGTTTGGATGTAAATAATAGAGCAACGAAAAGAATGTGTGTCCACAAAATTGAAGAAAATTTAAAAGTTTTTTGAAAAAGTATTTTGCTGAGTACACAAAAGAAAAATGGCACAACTGCTGCTCCCACATGGCTTAATTGATGAAGCAATGAAGAATATGGTTGTTCAGTTAGGAGAGAGATGAAGGAGAATTTTGTAGTTTTTCTGAAGATGAATGACTGGGGGGAAAGGTTTAAGTGCCTTCTTGGATTTTTGAACCCAACTTTCATTTTCATGGCTGTAACAGAATTACATGTATTACGTTTTCTTCTGTGCAAAACTCAATGCGTGCTGGTCCACATGCCAGTCTGTCCGTCCGTCCTAACAGCTATTGCCACTGCAGAATCCCTTCTTTTAGGGTTCAACACTAAGTTGCTGTGCTAGAATTGCATTAAGCTTCTGAATAACACATGCATACCTGTCAACATTTTGCTGTAGCCTTTGAACATTTTATTGTTTCAAATTCACGTAACTGCGTGAAACAGAGTTCTTGTGAAGTCGGTCAGCTAGTCAAGAAATTGTCTACATTTTATGAAACTCAAAGGTGTATTATCATGTTTACATTAACCGGCTTCTGAATCACCCGAGCCAGATGAATCCACGTGCTCAAATGCTATTTCTGTAAGATCCGTTTTAATACAGTCTAACCCCATTAGAGCGCCTCTCTTAATCAACCTCCAATCTCGGTGTTGAAGTAGGGTGGGTGGTAAATTGAATTCATTTGTTTGTATTTTTATTTATTAATATATTAAAGTGCCATATGGTGTGTGAAATATTGTAATTAGGTTCTTGTCGATAAAAAAGCGAAATTTCAGAGTATGTATTTGTTTTTAAGAATGATATTTATCTTCACTACAATATCAAATTTTGGAGCAAAACACATCCCAGTAATGTTGTACAGGATTTGTCACTCTCGTCTGCCATCCAAGCACTTCTGCTTTTTCGTTAGTAATTGAATCCAGTTTTGTTCCATTTTTTGTATTCACTTGCCCTGTCAAAATATGTAACTAATACAATCTAAAGATCTTCAAGCTTTGCACCTGTAGTGATTTCAAACTTTTGCATTTACCCCATAGATTGGAGAAATAGTTGGCAGTATTTTACTGTCATAAAATTCTCATGGACAGTCAGCCATGTCAGTATTGAGTTGAAAACCAATTTTTCAGAGACTAGCTAGCTCTGCCTTTGAAATGTTTGTTCACTGACCCTTATTATGGGTACAGAGCTAGTCTCCAAAACATTGGTTCTTTTCTGAATGTTTACATGACTGATTACCCAAAAGGATTTCTTAACATTTATGCACCATGAAAATTTCAGATCTTACATGATACTGTACTGGCTTATGCTAAGATATTGTTCCTTTTCACCAACACTAACACTGCCCTTTTCCCCATATCACATAAATGCAACTGATTGTGATTAATCACACCTTTAGCTGTGTGTACTTCTTTGTTCCATGACCAGCGTGGTGATTGTGTTCAAATTGAAGTGAATTTGTGTACAGTATGTCAGTTACTCTAATAAATTGTGCAGAAAACATTTTCATCACACAATATTTAAGGAGCTGTGTCGAACAGTAAAAGGGGGCTGGATCTGTTATTGTGCCACAGTTCTTGAATTTTTTACATGCTACTGTGCACAGCTTATTCTTATTAATGTTTCCTTCAAACCAATGCCCCTCCCAGTAGCAGGTTTGTTTACTATAATTGCCAGGATTTCGAATGTCGCCGTTTATGATACATTGCTGGCCGTAGGTAACAACCCAACTCTATCCCCCAAGTGCTGTAAGTGGTTTCTTACCTGGTTATATTTTATTTGTAAATATGTAATTGTTCATGTATGATACACATTTGTATAACTTAATATTCCAGGGAGTTGTCTGTACAGCCGATGACAAAATGGCATGGTACTTTATTAGATTTGATGATAATGCTAAGTGGTACATTTGTTTGCCACAGATGTTGGATGATGGATAGTAGAGGTGATTCTTTACTGAGAGATTCCCTTGAAATTACATAGGGAATTTCCATTCTAAAATATTTGTGGGCACAATTCTAGGGCAGTGGTATGTGTCGGGGTGCTGTATTGGGATTTGACTGTATTACCCGCCCATCTGTGCCTAAATTTATATTTGGTCTCAGAATTCTTACTATCTAAATTATACTTCATGCATTCCATGTTTTTTTAATGAAAGGTAATTGAATATAATTCTGAACATGTTAAATTTAAAATGTTTTATTTCCATTGTACAACTGATATATCTTCACTTGACTGAAAATGTGATCAGCTCTCTCAGTTATTGTCAAATCAAACTCCTCACTTTCAGACTATAATTCCAATAAATCTGTTTTGTTGTACTTTAACATACTTCATTGCATTTACAAGAAAGCATTTTATTCCGTTATAGATTTTAGCTTTACCTTGCCTTTCTTTTTTATTTATGTAGTATGAAACATTTTTTAATCCTGAACAGCAGCAGAAACACTTCTGTCGTATCATTGCAAAACAATTATGTAAAGTGCATTGATTGTTAAATTTAAAATGATTCTGTAATTGAAGACTTAAATTTACTTTCTCTTGGTTTGAAGCATGTGACTTATTCTACATCCTATTGTCATCTGACTAACTTATGGATCCATGGAATGTAATAAAGATGTATGTATGTATGAGTGATGAATTGGCAGGAACACGACAGCGGTTTTGAAATGTAGCAGTGAGAGTGAAGTTTCCATTTCTTAAATGGCTCTGGTTCTTTCGTTTGTTGTTAGGAGGCAATATACATAGGCCCAGTTACCAATCCACTAACATGATTTTCACCATACCACGTCATCTATCATGTAAAGCTGGGCTGTTGTGCAGTTTATCTTAAAGTAGCATTTATATGTGTTTATTATAGTTGTTTCAATGATGCAGTAACATTTATCCTGTAGCATTCTACACATTGCTGTATTCATCAAATGGTGTGATATCATAACAAAGTTTATAGACTCCATTGAATGTGTGGTCATTTAATGATGCTTCG